ATTCTTCGGGAGCAGTGAGGCAGATACTCTTTTAACAACAAGAATAACAATTGATATAGGTACACGGAATGCTTGGACAATGTGTGAGACCAGAAGAACCAGTCAAATAGTTACGGAAATGAGGACATACAAATCGGAGGTTCTTGGAATCGACGAAATCCATTGGAACCAAGCTGGAGAGAAAAAGATGGATTCGGGAGAGATGCTTCTGTACTCAGGCCACGAAGAACAAAACGCTTCGCGCACACAGAGAGTTGCTCTGATGATGTCCAAAGAAAAACATAAAGCACTTATACGATGGGAATCTCATGGGACGACATGGACGGACCAGAAGAAAGGAACGAGAATGGTGAGTGATTTGCAAATTTATATGCATTCAACAAAATGGTTATAGGCGGTACAATATTCCCCCACAAACGCATACACAAAGCTACATAGGTCTCACCGGACCACACTATACAGAACCAGATCGATCATATTTGCATCTCTAAGTCAGTCAGTAACAACGTGGAACTTCGTACGTACGTACATCAGTTCGAGTTGTCATACCACATTAGCACAGAGATTCAGTTATCGATTCAAATCCCATAGTGGTAGAGGTACTAAAAGTATAAGTAGAGATAGGGGACATGAAGGTTTGATGATGTTATTCAAGGAGTATAGTCCAGTGGAATAAATTGGGAAAGAAAATGAAAGACATGAAGAATTCAGAAGATTAGAGTTTCAGAGAACACAAAGAGTGGATGCACCTGCGCCATTGCAAACGATTTTGAGCCATGTCATTCAAGGTCTCTAACCATCGGTTGCTATCATCTCGCGGTCCCCAACCAAGTAGTCTACATCTACCAACATGGCTCAGTCCACTTGTCAATGACTTGATGGATTTGTGCCATGTTTTGGTCTTATTTATTATTTATTTATTTATTTATTTTAACACATAGATATCGGTACAAGAAGGCACCAAATACATATGCGTCACACAGATCTCATTTGATATGTGTGAGGGCTGTGATACTGTCCGGGTGCCCAAACCGAAGCAGGTGGTTTTCTTAAGGGGCCACACCCCCTGACATGTTTTGGTCTGGCCGCCCCTAGCTTTCTTCCAACCTACTCCTGCACCAGGAAACATAGCACGTCAGGGCAGTCGGTGGTCGGGCATGCGCAACACATGTCCCAGCCATCTCAACTGATTAAGTTTCACTACTTCCTCAATTGATTTGCCATTCTTACCTAGTACCCGTTTCCTAACAACTGAGTTGCTTACTCGGTGGTCCCAGGATATACGAGCGATGTTTCGAAGATACCTATGGTCAAATACTAGTAACCTACGAATATCCTCTACTCTTACTGGCCATGTTTCACTGCCATAAAGTAGGACGGAATGAACTGCTGCGCAGTAAACACGTCCTTTTGTTGATAGACGGATATCTCGCCCACGCCACAAATAACGCAAGTTGGCAAAAGCTAGTCGAGCCTTTTGTATCCGTGCTGAGATTTCGTCACACACCAAACCACAAGGGCTGATGAGACTTCCAAGATAAGTGAAGCGGTTGACACGCTCAACTACTTCACTCCCTATCACTAGTTCGGGTGCCGATGCAACCCAATCCTGAAGCAACATTTTGCATTTCGAGGGAGAAAATCGTATGCCGAACATGTCTGCATTGTTGCTTAGAGTGGTCAGGAGACTGTATTTTGCCAGCGTCTTCACCAAATAGAACTATGTCATCGGCATATTCTAAGTCAACAAGTGGATCTCCCGATAGAAGTTCAACTCCTGGAAATTTAGATGAGGAAAGTGCCATCTCTAAAAGGACGTCAACAACAAAGTTAAACAAGAATGGAGAGAGTGGACAACCCTGACGAACACCACTTGAGGTAATCAATTCTGATGACAGTTCGCCATAAGCTCTCACTCGACCATTTGTGTTCGAGTAGAGAGCCTATATAAGGTTAATGTACTTCTTTGGTACTCCTTTCAGTGACAAACACTGCCATAGAATCTCACGATCAACAGAGTCGAATGCCGCCTTAAGGTCGAGAAATACGAATATTGTGGGGCATCTGAATGTGTGTCTATGTTCTAGGATCTGACGTAGTGCGAATATTTGATCTATACAACCACGTCCAGGTCGAAAAACCAGCCTGGTTTTCTCTAGTCTGCTCTTCACGAGCTTTGGTTAGACGTCGAAAATTATTGCACCAGTAAAAAATTCACAAGGTCAATGGAAGACGTTAGAAACAAGAGACTATGTTAAATAGCTTCAGATCACAACCTGGTAGTTATCAAAATGAAACTAAAGCTAAAGAAGAACTGAGGAAACGGCATTACAAAGTTTCGATGCAGCCTTCCATCAGCACACCGACAAACTCAATGAATTCAAGATAACTCGCAACAACAGGTTCCAAGCCCTACAGGATCTACTGCAGGAAGAAGAAACTACTATGAAGGACAACCGGAAAGAGACCAAAGAAGCACTAACTCCAATCTGTCAGGAGCTTCTGGGCCGCAAGAAGCATCATCAAAAGGAATGGATATTCATCGAAACACTGGAAAAGATTCAAGAAAAGAACAAGAAGACGACAACTAACAACAGCCGAACAAGAACAAGCTGAATACACAAAACAAACAAACAAACAAGTGAAGAGCATTAGAGCCGACAAGCATAAATATGTGGAAGAGTTAGTAACGACAGAGAAAAAATTTGCAAGAGAAGGAAATATGAAACAGCTATATGAAACAACGAAGAAACTGACAGGAAAATATAGAATACCAGAGACCGATCAAAAACAAAGATGGCAAAACAATCATGGAGATTCAGGAACAGAGGAACAGATGGGGAGAATACTTCGAAGAACTCTTGAATAGACCAGCACAATTGAATCCACCGAACATCGAAGCAGCACCTACAAACGTTCCTACGGCTGTCACTCCACCAACGATCGAAGAAATCAGGATGGACATCAGACAAACCAAGAGCGGCAAAGCAGAAGGATACGACAAAATACCAGTTGAAGCACTGAAGTCAGATACAAGAGTAACTGCAAGTATGCTTCACGTTCCATTCAGGAAGATTTGGGAGGAAGAACAAGTGCCGACACACTGGAGAAAAGGATACCTCATCAGGATACTAAAGAAAGGAGAACTGAACAAGTGTGAAAACTACAGGGGCATCACACTACTATCGGTACCAGTAAACGTCTTCAACTGAGTGTTGCTGAACCGGGTGAAAGACTCGGTAGACACCCCACTTCCTGGTCAACAGGCCAGACTCCGTAAGCATCGATAGTGCACAAACCCAACTGCGATATTACGGATCATCCCTGAAAAACCAGTTGAATGGAACTTGTCATTATACATCAAATTACTTCACTATGAGGAACCATTTGACAGTGTGATTAGGATAAGCTTATGTAAACTTAATCGACGTTATAATGTGCCTGACAAGATCACCAACATCATCCGGAATTCATACAACGGACTACACTGCAAAGTCGTGCATGGACGACAGCTGACTGACACATTCCAAAGAAGAACCGGAGTCAGACAAGGCTGCCGACTCTCTCCCTTCCTCTTTCTTCTGGTGGTTGACTGGATTACGAAGACCTACACATCTCACGGGAAGCACGGAATACAATGGACAGCTTGCATGAAACCAGACGATTCGCACTTCGCCCAGCTCTTCTAGACCATACACATCAACAAATGCAGATAAATACAATTACTGTATCAGCAGCCTCTGCAGCAGTAAGCCACAACATACAAAAGGGAAAAATTAGGATCCTCGAATAAAACACAGAGGACACCAACCCAGACACACTCGACGGAGTAACTCTGGAAACGTTTACGTACCTAATCAGCATCACCGACGAACGACGAGGAGCTGATGCAAATATAAAAGCGAGAATTGACAAACCAAGAGAAACATATCTACAACTGAAGAACATATGGCACTCATAACAACTGTCAACCATTATCAAAGTCACAATCTTTAATACGAACATCCAGACAGTTCTACTGTGTGGAAATGAAACTTCGACAACTACTACAACTATCATCAAAAAAGTACAAGTATTTATAAACCACTGTCTACTTTAAGCACTCAATGTTCGTTCACCGGATACCATCAGCAATAGGCTACTGTGGAAGAGAACAAATCAGCTTCCAACTGAAGAGGAAATTAGGAAAAGCCGTTGCAAGTGGATAGACCATACATTGAGGAAATCATAAAACTGAATCACGAAGCAAGCACTAACTTGGGATCTTGACTGGAAACGGAAAAGAAGACCGAAAGAACACACTGTGCCGAGAATGGTTAACGGATATCCAAAGAATGAATAACTACTGGAAACAACTGTAAAGGATAGCCCAGGACAGAGCTCGGTGGAGTATGCTGGCGGGCGGCCTATACTTCTTCACCAGGGGTAACATTAATTAAATTACGACACACTTTAATTGCAGTAATATTATAGTTCTAGAGTGCTTTTATTACATTTTAGAAATGGAAAACCTATTTAAATATAAAAATCGAAAAATCGACCTGTCGTTTCTCGTGGAAGCGCCATATCTAACCTCAGAATAACTCACTTCATGATCCTACCATACACAATGTTTTGACGGATTTGATCGAACAATTACAATCTGTTTATGCCTTTTGCTTTTATTGATCATGTTTTACAGCCATATGCTCAAAGGAACTAGCATTTAGCGATATTGTTCTAGTACATAACTCCTTGGAATCACTCAACTGGAAGCACTGTGTCTAAAAATTGTGCATGTTTACAACAATAAAGTGTTAAAAGAACTCGGAACAAACTCTCTCCTTAGGATTGTACTGTTCACATAGTTGTACGATAGATATATTACCTATCAACTATCCTAACAACTCACTGATTTTCGATGCGGTCACTTTATACATAGATATTTATTTACACGTAAACAAGTCTAACATTATCAAACAATTAATCTTTAAAAGAAATTGGTTTTTTAATATACTCACTTTATAAGGAACTAAATGTATTGAGTCAAGTACTGGAACAAGTTCACCCAATTCGTCTGTGAATTCGGGACTAGTACCACGAACAAATTCATTTGAATCTGGTGTACTACTACCCCCAGTCCCTGCACCGGAAGCAAGCATTCTACGTTTTTAAAAAATATGCTCGTGGGATGAACTGTCAGAAATATAAAGTAAACAAAAGGATTTAAGAAAAGCTATAAAAAGAGAATTTATTTATTTATTTAAACCCAAAAAGATTGGTACAAGGAGGCACCAAATACATATGCACCACACAACAATAAGTCCAGTAGTAGTTTCCATGGTTATGTATAAAGGCTTTGATAATATCCGGACATCCAAACAAAACAGGTAGTTTTCTTTGGGAGCCACTCCTCAAGTCTTTAACCTAAAGGTCTGATCCATAACGCAGTAGAGCAACGTTAGATCAAGTCCATAGTAGTCGGTGACCAAAAATAGGTTGATACGTCATTTATTCCCTCACGATTCTGGAGCCCATGTGTACCATTTGTTTGGAATCAGGGTTTTCCGAACTCGATAGGTGGATCCTCTGTGTCCATTGACCAAGTCAAAATGCCAGAAATTACGTCCTCTCAATTTCGTAAACAACGCCCCTTCCGAGAGAAGATAGTGAGTAGTGCTTCCCTGGAAGTGGCTGTATATGTGTGGCCATGTGAGAGCATTTCGAGAGGGAGGGCTGACTCTCGCCACCTTCGACCGTACCAGAGCATTTGGAGGAAGAAAATACACTAGCTGGTAACAACAGTGAAACTTAATTTACCATATAACAGGATGTTTGTTATCAAGAGCAGAAATTCGGTCCACAAATGAACTAGTTGAAAGTTGGTACTTAAACATACATTACATAGCTAATCACCTAAAACATATACTCAGTATAAACTGAGATTTCTCTAGTATTCAAATCCAGTTGCCATGAAAGTAGGATCGCCAAAGATGTGTCTTAGAGCAAGATGCTACGCCACATTAGCATGACAAGATGAAAATAAATAATTAAGAAGATTGAAACAACGTAGTAACAATGGTTATGAGAACATTGATAAAAAGGTTCCAATAGACGGAGCAAAAAAACTTGTATTAATGAATACTGAAATTTGAGATCGAGAGGAATACAAACAATTAATGCACCTGGGTCAATGTGAACGATGTCACTCAAAGTCTCAAACCATTAATCGCGTTTATAACGCAGACCACAGTCGAGTAGTCCGTCTTCACCATCGTGACTCAGATCAGCGGTCAATGACTCCGTGAGATGATTACATCTCTTTTTGGCAGTCCCTAGCCTTATCCCAACAAATTTCTACACCAGCAAACATCACTTATCAAGGTAGCCGGTGGTTACGCATACGCAACACATGCCCACATGAATACTGTGGGTAGTATATTATTGACTGTTAAATGGAACACACAAAAAAACAAATAAGTCAAGAATCATTTGCACCTAAAGATATATTTAAACATCAGGTGACTATTTTACAATAATACAGTAGACAGTTATTCTTGATAGTAATTATAAAATGACATACGTTAGGAATAATTATATTTACGAAAAATCGTACATGAGTATGAATAAGAAATATCCCGGTCATGAAAGACTATTTACGCAGCTTCTGTATTGCAAAATACTACAGTGTATAAAATAAAACTAAACTAGTTTAAAAAAGCTGAATATATAGTTATTATCCGTAAACGCTTAACCAACGCGAAAATGTTTCCAGAGAGAACTGTGTGAGATTTACCAGTGCATAATTTTAATGTAAAAAGATTATCAACTAACTTGAACCCATACTATCTTTTGAAGAAATAAGCAATAAACAATTTTGTTGATGATCTGAATCACTCTCGAACACTTTTTATGTAAAAGAAATTTCTGAAGTCCCAAATATTAAGAAATACGACCCAATAACTGAATCCTATATGTGTGAAACTAAACAACACTAGAAGTGTAGGTTCATACAGAAACATTGACGTAACCAAAACACAGAAATAAATAAAAAATGACGTATCTAAGCATTGTTCACTTGACAATAAATATAGAAAACAATTGTTTTGGTTATTGAACTGGTGCAACTTTACTCACTTGCACTGTTGATATTCAAGATGTTGTTCCCGCTTTGAAGGTGTTATTCATTTGTTTATAAATTACTGAAATAGAGAGTTGATTGCTTACAGTTGTTGGGAACCTATGAAATAAAATATATTGACCTATTAACGCTTTTGTCTTCATTCTTTTCATGGTAAAATTTCTGGATGCTGATGATCATTAAGAATGTAAAAATTGTTTTACGCTTTTCCTTAAGACCAAACAGGAAAAACTCAACTAAGACAAGGAAAAAGATTTAAACGCTATTAAAAAGATGTACTAGTAGGAGAATCAGTAGCTGTACTAATTTCTGGAGGACTTTAAAGATAACTGTATGCAATTCAAAGTCCAGGATTGCATTAACTGAATATAGGTAGACGAAATGGAGTTGCTTCGCTGAGCGAATACTGACGAAAAACGTTTGAAGGTAATCTAAATTGTCAGTAGATTAAAACCAACAGTTTATAAGTTTATAATCTTTTCTTTAACACTAGTAGCGAACAAATCATGTATAAAGGCCACCAAAATCCATACTTGATTGTTACTTGGATAAAAGAATTTCTCTTTATCCTCTAAACACTAGACATTATTTCTATACTTTTGTTCTAATGAGGATATTTCAGAATAACTTTGTCGAAACCCGATTTTTGTTTTAACTTGATCATTTCTATTCTTATTCCTAGAATCTAACTTTATTAATATTCTCGACAAAGAACTATATCGTGAAACAAAAAATAACACATGAATTAATGCTTGACGTGAGAGATCTGAATGTTAAATACACCTCTGACAGGTTGAAATAATGGTTTCCCGTTCTATCAATGATGGTTAAAGGAACATCTCATGTTACTTGATGAGGGAAGGGTTGCGAAGTGAGTATCGATAGATGTGTCTATCAATAAACTTAACATTCAACTGAAAAATCACTGCCTACTCTGATACCCCGAATTACATTAAAGCGCTTATTCTATCTATGCTTTATTACATATTTCATATTTTTTGATAATGGACTTATAAAGATTCAAAAGAAAAGAAAGTCGGGTCGAATTATTTTGATTTTTCCATTAGTGTTTTTTAATCCCCAGTTTTACTGTTATAAATTTACATAACATGAAATATAACATCACCACGGTTCAATAACTATTATTTCAAAAAACTGGTTTATTTAAATAATTTTCTCGAAATAGACAATGATGGACTTGGAATAATAAACCTTACATTACTTTTTGGCTCGTCACATACACAGAAACAACCGTTTTCGAAACGTACAGACAGGATAGTCCTTATTTAGGGATTATAAAAGCTTGTTAAATACATTTACGCATAATATAAATTTTATTTACAGGGCCTAAGAATGTAAGTCCATTACAATGATATATAGAAGTGAGTAAGAAATGATTGCCAGAAATAACACTGATTAGGTAGGTGAAGAATTTACCGTAGGATTGTAAACAACATACGAACTGAAGCAGCTAATTCATATGAAAGAAATTTCGGCTTATTCATTAGAACAAGACAGTAACAACGGACACTGAGAGTGAGAGAAAAATGTCAGCTTGGAGTCGCGAAATTTTCCTGTGGTCGAATACAACTCCTTGGTCCCAGAATTATGCAGAACATTTAGGTAATAACATAACCGCTTAAGTTATAAAGATTAGCTTCATTGTAGTATTAGGCAACTACTCTGCCTTTGTCCACATTATTTTGTCTCATTTAAAGTGGATCCCTGGTAGGACCCAGACTACTTAATAATAACAAACTATAAACGTACCAACAAAGCACAAACTGAACCTCGGCAACAAATTAAAGTACCGAATAAAATGTTTTGGGCGCACTATCACCGGCTGTTAATCAATCTCCAATCCTTATTTTTTTAATGAATGATTCCTTTGAACTTCGTGCTTTCTGAATTAAAAGGGTATCTTTAAGACAAATGTGATGTTTTAATGTTCTTTCTAGAAACGGTTTACCATGCACAATGAGTGTGATTCTGAGGGGTCAAAACATGAGTTATGATATCAAAAAATATTCCTGGAATGTAAAGAGTTGCATGCATAACATTCTTTGTGTAATTTAAGTTATTTCACCAGTTCAATGAGGCCATTAGGTTTAGAATATAAGTAATTAATCACTTGGGTTATATTTGTTACATGAAATTCAGTGTTCATAAGTTGGTATTGTAATGGGTTGAATTTGATGCATTTGAGTTTTACTCATTGTCCCGGACAAGAGATACCCCTGCAGCCAAAAATATTTCTCTCACACTACTAGAGGTCAACTGAATTTGATAAAATCACCCCAAAAGAAACTCGATGAGCTTGTTTTATTCGGAAGGTGGGATCTGAATTTCAGGAAGCAACCTTGATTTAGGATAGTTTATTGAGGAATCCCTGATGTTGAGGCTTCTTTGTCTGTATGTGTAGAGTGTGGACTAATACACACATGATTCATACTCGCTTTTAAACAGACCGTAATAACTCAGACAGCATGTAACCATTCAGTTATTTCATCCTTGTAATAACTATTGTTTCTGTAGAAAATTGTGATCTTCAGCGTAAATTCACGTCTTTATGGCATTTTATTTCTACGGCAACTCCCCTTATGTTAACCTGTGTGCGCTTGACTGTCGCTCACTACTTTATCCAATGGCTGTCTATTTGTCACACCAAGCATTATCTATTTCGGACTGTGCCAACACTTTTAATGATTAGCATGGCAAATTGACACATTTTTGTTCCCTGAATCGCCTTCCCTCCGTTTTCGCTCCTTGTTTTTATTTATGTTTGAATAAGCAACTGACGGAAATAAATTCGCTCAACCTGAAGCGTAATTAGCTTCTTATTATCACCATCACACAAACAGAGCTAGGCCAGCCGTAATGGAAGTTTTAAATTCATGGCTTATACATTTGAAGAGTTATGGTCTAGATCGTTATTAGTACTGCTATAATAATAACTGTAATCCTCAAATCGTAGATTTGGCATGATATGACTATCTAGTCTATTGTAACGTACGTGGAAGT